GTTTGTAAGCAATTTAACTTAATAAAAAAAAAAAAAGAATAAATATGAGGTAATCTTTGTTAAGAATAAATTTAATTTATTTATTGAACTATATTTTTATTTTTAATTATATATCAACTTAATTAAAATATAGTAACATGTTAAAATATTTTAACATGAATTGTATTATTTATAAACCGTTGGGCAGTTGCCCTTACGGCACTATTGTTTTTTGGTTATATTTTATTTTGATGAAGATCACATAACTTACATTTAATTTTAATAACGTAAGTCTTCTCTTTTTCTGTGATCATCGCATCGGCAAAGTCCCAAGATTTAAAAGTTTTTAAAGTAAATCTTTTGTCCTTCAAAATACAATCCATATTCGAACTTTAAATAATTTAGAGATAATAGAAATATACAAGGTTTTTATATACTAGTTTGTTTTGTTTTATAAAGAAAAATACATATTCATTAGTAAAAAATGGAGACTGTCATTAAACTAAAACGTGCCTTAGTATTTATTTAACGGAGCCTGTAATGTGCGCGTGCATAATAAAACCTCTGTTATATAAATATATTCAACATAATATCAGTGTCATCAGCGGATGTTGTAGTCTACTCATGATTTCTTTATTTTATATTATATCTTGATTTATGAAAAAAAAAACTTATTGAATCGCACGCAGAAGAATTTTAAAAAATTGTCTTCATTCAATTATTGCGAGTAACAGGTATTTTTTTTTTTTTCTTTGCCGACCACCTCCCTCGCATAACTTAAATTATATACTAATAAACTAATAAGAAAAGCTATATACTATTAAACTAACTATAAGCGTTATACTATTAAACAAATAAGAAAAGCAAAGACATTTTTTTTAACATCTCGAAAAAATGTCTTGATATTTTTGTTATCATGATAACAAAAATATTAAGACATTTTTTGAGATTTTATTAAAAAAAATGTCAATTCTTAATTACAAATTTTTTTGCAAATGTTTTTTATAATAAATTCAGTAAAAAATTCATGAAAAATCTATATTACAAAAAACTTTTATATTCTGTATTAATAATATGGAATATAGATTTTTTAAAAGTTTTTCACTAAAAACTTTAAAAAATTACTACTTTTTATTAAAAACATTGCAAAAAATTTGTAGTTAAGGATTGACAAACAATTTTTCATGTTGCTAAATATTTGGATAAAAAGTTTAGCGTCAAATTAATTGCTATAAAAAGGAAAGATATATCGCAATGAAAAGTTACAATAATTATTTTTAAAGTAAATTCTTTTTTTTAATAAATACCTTTACATAACGTTAATGTGGTTTTTTTGAAAATTAATTACTTCTTTTATGTTACCGCTAATTTAAAAGTTAAAAAATGATAAAAAGTAGCTTAACCAAAACAGCTCTACGCGTACGTAAAAAGCGCTTAAGGCGTACGTAAGTCGCTCTAGGCGTAACGCTTTAAAACAAGGCCTGATATATATATATATATATATATATATATATATATATATATATATATATATATATATATATATATATATATATATATATATATATATATATATATATATATATATATATATATATATATATATATTTATATATATATATTATATATATATATATATCAGGCCTTGCGATGAATAAGAACTGCGCGACGCATAAGCACGACGTGATTTTTGACGTAATTAAATTCTATTTATTTGCTTTTCATATTTATCGACATTAACTGCACCAATTTACTTAAATACCGCAAAACTACTTTATATCAATTATGTAGAAATGTTATTATTTAAAAATGTTTTGGAATGTTTCGTTTTTCAAAATGTAAAAACATTTGTTTATTTTCTCGACGTTTGTCACGTTTTGTCTATACTAAACGAATAAAAAACATTTTAACTTAAATTTAAAAAAGATTATAAAATATGCTAATGTTTGATTTTTTTTTTCTTAAATATGTAAATTAAAATTTTCCAAATAATTATTTTTTTTTTTTAAAAAGTCAGCGAGTAATAAACTGGAAATTTTAATATTGTTCGATTAAAAACTGTGCAATAATTTTACAAGCGATTTTATATAATATTTATTTATTTATTTTTATTTATTTTCATAAAGCGGTTGATAAGCACAATCACTTGTATTTAATAATAAGCTTAAACGAACGTTTTGAATAGATTTTTAATGTTAACAAGGAATTTTATTTCTAGTAAAATAAAATAAAATGTTAGAATAAAAATCTTATAGGTATAAAAAAAACATTTCAGCGAAAAAATTATTCTTAACAATTATTATTAAAAATTATTCGAAAAGCTATTCACGTTTTATTTTTCAGCAGCTGTTCTTGAGCACGCTTCGTTAAGTTTCGGTAACTTTTAACATAAAAGCTATCGTTGTTATTTAAGTATTTTTTTTGAGTTACTTTTCACAAAAATTTTAATAAATGTACTTTTTTATTGAATCTAGTAGAATACGTTTTAATATTAATCCGTTTTTTATTTTTTTTGCGCTTACCAATTTTTAAAATGTTTCCTCAAAATTACTCTTAAATACTTTAAATATGTCTAACAGTTAATAAATATTTTTAAATCTATATAATAATTTTAAAACCTAACAAATCCCCATAAAATAATTATTCAAGTTTAAAATCTAAATCTAAAAGAAAGTATTTTTGTTCAATTTTATCGACAACTTTGCTATTGCTGAATAATTTTATTAAAATGTTAGCTTAAAAGATTTAAACTTTTTTTTTAATCTAAATTTTTTCTACTTGTAAATAATGAGCATATTTAATTTTTTTTAATTCAAACTTTTATTTCAACTGTGTGCGGTTTTTAAAATACTTTTTTAAATGTTAAAATAATTGTAAATTACTTCATTAAAATTCCGCTCAAAAATATCTTTAAATATACTCAAACAAAAAATTTTTTGGTCAACGCAAATAGCCCTACCTACACGCAAAATTGCTCTTGGACGACGTAAAATTCACATCGCCCGACGCTTTATATGATATATATATATATATATATATATATATATATATATATATATATATATATATATATATATATATATATATATATATATATATATATATATATATATATATATATATATATATATATATATATATATATATATATATATATATATTCATATATTGGTTATTTTTTAGCTGTTTTTAAGAAGTAGTTTGTTTAAATGTTATTTAAAACACCACATTAAACACATAACCATTTGCTACTTCCAAATAATAACAATGTTATGACTTGAAATTAGTATCAATGGTTATGTAAAGTTTTTCTTTTAATAACATTGTAACAAATAACTAACTTAGTACTGTTATAAGTAGCAGTTAATCTTTCTTAATTCCTAAGTAAAGCTATTTGAAGCCCATGAGTTTAAAGTTTTTCAAATTTTTTATAAACTATAAATCATTTGTATTTTTCTTCATTAGCAGTTCTTACTAAACTGTTTACTGCATATATTATACAGTTTGATTTCAGATTTCTTAGAAGGAATATATTATATAATTTGTTTCCTGACGATTGTTTTTGTTTAACTTTCAGGATGTCACAGCCTTTTAATTTTATGTTATTGTAATTATTTTATCTTTGTGTAATAATTTTATATATCAGACCGAACCAACTTCAAATAGTTGTGTTAGGTGTGGGTTTAAAAAATCCCCACTAAATTTATAAATCTTAAATGTTGATATAAATTTTCAAAGCTTTTTTCTGTATTTGAGAGCTTTATATTCAGGTGCATATTTTACAGTGCTTTACTTTTTATATATACTCTATCGTTTTTTACCCTTTTTTATATGCTAGATCCTTTTTTAGACCATTTTCTTTTTGTTGACTTTTATGTCATTTATGATTTCCATAACAATAAATCTAATATCTAAATGGTTAAAAAAACAGGAGAATTTTAAAGTATTTTTAAGTATTTTTTCTTCCCGCATAATTATAGTTATGATTTAATTAAAACTTATTTAATTAATTTAATAGATTTTTTATTTCAAAGTTTAAAGTTTTATTTTAAATTAAATCATATTCAGTGAATACTAAAGCTAATATTTTGAGTAGTTTGTTCTAACTCTAGTAGACTATGAAATTATTCTCTGGAATAAATACTTTTTTTTTATCATATTCTCTGAAATAAATAATATTTCATTGGACAATAAATGTGTAATAGTTCATAAGAATAATTCATTCTAGTTTATTGGATGATAAAAAATATCAAATCCATAATTATATTTTAGTTTCAGTTGACACTGAAAATATCTACAATGATCATTTTTTTCAAAAAATGGGTATTATCATAAATGCTTTGGATAACATTGAAACATGACGATATATAGATGCGTAAAATAATTTTAAATTTGTACTTTATGGTGGTCCACAAATTATATCACGCAATTTTTGACCATATTAAACTAACTCCTCTTCCCCCCCCCCCCCCCTCCTTTACCCTCATCACAACATCATAAGTCTTTAGTAGCAAGTTTCATATAAGTTGTCACAAAAACATTGTTCCTACCCCCGTACACCCTAATGCATGATGTAATTTATGGACAACTTAGAACAATTTTTCAGTCATTAAAACCCCGTTTTTTAAAATAAAGAATGTGTTTTTATACTTTTTTTAAATTACTTACAATTTATTAATGCAGTAAAGTTTTTGTTTTTTTTATGTATCCCTTTTTGTTTTTCATTCATCATTTTTTGTTTTTTGTGCATATTTTTTTGTTGTTCATGCATCAGTTTTTGTTCTTTGTGCATCATTTTTATTTCTCATGCATTAATTTTGTTTTTCATGTGTTATTTTTTTGTTTTTAGTGCATTTTTTGCTTTTTGTGCAACATTTCTTAATGCATCGTTTTTTGTTTTTCATATATCATTTTTGTTCTTCATGCATTATCTTTTATTCTTTGTCCATCTTTTTTTTCGTTGTGACTCAATTTTTGTTCTTCATGCATCATTTTTTAATCTGGTCTTTTTTTTATGCTAGGAGATGTGTTTCTAACACGAGACCATTAATTTAGACAGGTACCATGGGAACTAAAGGTCATGTTCAGGTAAACTTTAATACTTTAACTGAAAAATTTCATTTTTTTTCAATAAAAGTTTTTGTTACTAAAATCTAAAAATAATTATATTTTAACTTTATAATTACTTTTGTATTTAAATAATTATCATTTTTATTGGCTTTAGGTTATTATGTTTTACTTAACCGACACTTATTCTAGTCAGGTAACATTTTTTTATTTTCAATTAGTTCATAAACATATATGTTTTTTACAAAAATGAGAAGTCTTAAAAGAGATCTGCAGTTTGCAGGTAAATGTTAATTATTTTTGCATAAACTCTAAAGTCTTTGGGACTGGGTTTGAAAAAGAAAGGTACCAGAAATTTTAAAGTTCTGTTTTTCTTTCTATGAAATTTAGCAGTTGTCACCTCTTGTAAATTTCAAAGTTTGAGGAAAAAAACTATATAAACAAAAATTTTTTGAGCATGAAGTTACAGATACAGTAAAATGATAACGTTTTGCTAAATGACAAATCATGGAATATTGAGTTTTAATTAATAAAACTAGTTATGATAGTTTACTTGAGAAGATAGAGCAATAACCGCAATAAAATATTTGAATCGCATAATTATTTAAAAAAAAATTAATGATTTCAAAAATCAGTGGAGCAACAAACAAGGTAGAATTTGTAGAAAAATATGCAACTTTAAAATGATGTCCCATTGTTGCGGAACAAGACCAAGGGCGGAGCCTTGTATTACCTCTGAAGTTAATAAAAACAAAAGAGAGTATTATCCATAAAGTTCAATTTTAGTTCTGCAATTAGAAAGGAATGATTCAATAAATTAACAAAAATAACTTTCACAGAAATACTATGTGAACTTTTGTAGAAGACAAGTATGTCAATCTTTTTTAAAGGACTTTGGTAAGTCAATACCAATAGCTGTTGCATAACTGCTTATATCTAATGCTCAATATAATCTTTCTATTATAATAATATTTATTTTTGTTAAAGAAATATCTGTGTTATGTTATAAAATATATTGTTTATTTTTGTTTCAATATTGTATGATAAAACATTTGAATAGTATTTAAATGTTTTTATCACTAAATTAATTTTTTTTTTTTTTATGTTTCTAGGTAATTGTGTTAAAATTAATGAAAAGTTATTTCTACATCATTTGTAACTTAGAAAGTCAATATAAAATAGAATATGAAGATAATATGAGCAAAATATTGAAGTTATGGTGGAGATTAAGCTATGTTTAATCTCTATCATATTCCTGTTAGTATTGTGCTATATTCATGTTATGCATCAAAAAAAAAATTTTAAATAAATATTTAAAGATAAGAAACAATAAAAAGAAAATTTTTTTAACAAGACAAGAACACAAAATTAAATTAAATATTAAAATTGAATGTTATGGTAGGCAAAGGTGATGCTATATTTGTTAAACCTGTGAAGTTTCCCTAGGGCTTAATATTTGAACCTTTCTTATTCATGTTTATATTATTGAATAAGATAAAGATTCAAATTTGATGGCAGTCATGCTTGCTGACAAACCTAACTTTTTTTTGATTAATAGTATAGCAACATTATTTCAAAATAATAGTGAAAGTTTTTGATTGTTTTAAAATAAATTTCTTAGCTTTCTCTAAATGTTGAAAAAAAAAATTGGACACTTTTTCATCCAGCTTCTAAAACAAAATGGACGAACTTTTATTTAGATTCTAAAATAAAATTAACAGCTTTTTATCAAGCAAACAAAGCACCTAACTTGTGTTATTTACTTTTTTTTTTTTTCTTACACTTTTTGGTATATAAAAGTCAAATAAAAGCAGTAACTAGTAGAAACCTTTGTTTAGAAAATTTATATACATAAAAAGATAAAAATAAATACAATTTAAGAAATAGTAATTTTAAATTGGCAATGTTTTTTTTTAATTTAATTTAAAAAAAGTCAAGCATTTCATTTTGTGGAGCTTATTTTTGTAATAAAATAGTAAACTTTATTTCTTATTTTGTAATTGTTTTTTTTATTTTTAAATTTTTAAAACACTAAAATGTGTAATGAAACAATAAAAAGTATTTTTAGTTTTTTTTTAGTTTTAGTATAACAATACGACATATTTAAATATATTTTAAATGTATGTTTTAAATTTCTTTTTTTTATGTATTTCTATATTTTAATTTCTTTTATAAGTTGTAAAAAGTTTCAGAATATTCAAAAATCATTTTGTCAATAATCTTATTTAATAATAATTGTTATAGTTATTATCATTTATTATAAGTTAAATTTTTGTTTTTAGTTAGTGTTATTATTTAACTTATTATTAGTTAAATTATTTAATTGGTTGCTAATTAAAGCTTTTGATTCTGTTGTTTTAGCGTGATCCAGTTAATGAAGGTATACCATATTGTACCCTAAAGTCTTTTCCTCAACAGATAGAACACACAATTCAATGGGCAAGAGACAAAGTAAATAAATATAAAAAGTATTATTTAATTAAATTAATTAAAATAAATTATAAATTATTATTAAAAATTAAAAGTAAATAAATGTTTTGATTTTTGATATTTTTTATTAATATTTTGAATTTTTTTTTCATAAAATGACATTTTTTTTTTTTAATACTGTTTCATTTTTATAAATTTGGGAAGTATTGTTATTATTATTTTTTTTAGTTTAATAGCTTGTTTACTTATGAACCAGAAATTTACAATAAATTTTGGGATAAAAACAAAGACATGAATGAAATAATTAAGGTGTGTATAATTGCGTTTTATCATTATTATTTAATTTTTGCGTTAATATATTTTTGCATTAATATATAAAACAAGAAAAATATTTATTATAAGTTTAATAAAAAGAATTTTGAAGAAAATTATTAGATACCTGATGGTTTTGTTGTTTCTGCATCGTTGTTGAAAAAAAGACCTGCAATCTTTGAATGCTGTGTTAAAGAAGCCTACCTTTTACTGCTACTTCCATAATAAAGTTACATTTATTTAAGTTTATATTATTACAATATTTATTTAAGTTAATTATTATTACATTATTTGAACCATTAATTTCGACAGGTACCGTGGGAACTAAAAGTCATGTTAAGGTAAACTTTAATACTTTAACTGAAAAATTTCATTTTTTTTCAATAAAAGTTTCTGTTACTAAAATCTAAAAATAATTATTTTTTAATTTTATAATTATTTTTGTATTTAAATAATTATCATTTTTTATTGGCTTTAGGTTATTGTGTTTTACTAAACTGAGACTTATTCTAGTTAGGTAACATTTTTTTATTTTTAATTAGTCCATAAACATTTACGTTTTTTACAAAAATGAGAAGTCTTAAAAGAGATCTGCAGTTTGCAGCTAAATGTTAATTATTTTTGCATAAACTCTAAAGTCTTTGAGACTGGGTTTGAAAACGAAAGGTACCAGAAATTTTAAAGTTCTGTTTTTCTTTCTATGAAGTTCAGCAGTTTTGACCTCTTGTATGATTTTACTCTCAACAAGGCTACAATTAACCAATAGTTGGTAATTAACAAAAAGTATAGATTGAATTAAAGAACAAAAAAGCAGTTAACAGAAGGCTTAAAAATCTCCGAGTCGGAAAAACATGAACACGAAAGTAAATTTCAGAGCTTAAGGAAAAAAACTATATAAACAAAAATGTTTTGAGCATGAAGTAACAGATACAGTAAAAGGATTAAATTTTGCTTAATGGCAAATCATGGTATATTGAGTTTTGGTTGATGGAACAAGTTAGGATAGTTTACTTGAGAAGATAGAGCAATAACCGCAATAAAATATTTGAATCACATAATTATTTCAAAAAAAATTAATGATTTCAAAAATCAGTTGAGCAACAAACAAGGTAGTATTTGTAGAAAAGAGAAAAATATGCAACTTTAAAATGATGTTCCATGCAACTTTAAAATGATGTCCCAACATTAAAATGATGTCCCATTGTTGCGGAACAAGACTAAGGGCGGAGCCTTGTGATACCTCTGAAGTTAATAAAAATGAAAGAGAGTATTATCCATAAAGTTCATTTTAAGTTCTGCAATTAGAAAGAAATGATTCAATAAATTCACTAAAACAACTTTCACAGATATACTATGTGAACTTATGTAGAAGACAAGTATGCTAATCTTTTTTGAAAGACTTTGGTAAGTCAAGACCAATAGCTGTTGCATGACTGCTTATATCTAATGGTCAATGTAATCTTTCCATATAATAATGTTTATTTTTGTTAAAGTAATATCTGTGTTATGTTATAAAATATATTGTTTATTTTTGTTTAAATATTGTATGATAAAATATTTGAATAGTATTTAAATGTTTTTATCACTAAACTAATTTTTTTTAATGATATTAGGTAATTGTAAGTTATTTCTACATCATTTGTAACTTAGAAAGTCAATATATAATAGAATATGAAGATAATATAAGCAAAACATTGAAGTTATGGTGGAGATTAAACTATGTTCAATCTCCATCATATTCCTGTTAGTATTGTGCTACATTCATATTATGCAGCAAAAAAAAAAAAAAAAAAAATACAATAAATTTTTGAAGATAACAAACAATAAATTTTATTGTTTGTTATTGTCAAAAATTTATTGTATTTTTTTTTTTTTATTAAAAAAAAAATTTTTTAATGAGACAAGAACACAAATTAAATTGAATATTATGGTAGTTAAAGATAATGTTTTATTGTAATTTACAAACTATGAAGTTCCCCAGGGCTCTATATTTGAACCCTTCTTATTCATATTTTCATTTTTGATAAAGATAAAGGTTCAAATTTGATGACAGTCGTGCTTGCTGACAAACCTAACCTTTTTTTGATTAATAGTATAACAATATTATTTCAAAATAATAGTGAAAATTTTTGATTGTTTTAAAATGAATTACTTAGCTTTCTCTAAATGTAAAAAAACAAAATGGACACTGTTTCATCTAGCTTCTAATAGAAAATGGACACACTTTTATTCAGCTTCTAAAACAAAATTAACACTCTTTTATCCAGCAAACAAAGCTACTAATTTGTGTTATTTACTTTTTTTTTTTTTTTTTTTTTTACTTTTTGGTAGAAAAAAGTCAAATAAAAGCAGTAACTAGTAGAAACCTTTGTTTAGAAAATATATATACATTAAAAGATAAAAATAAATACAATTTAAGAAATAGTAGTTTAAATTGGCAATGTTTTTTTAAGATTGATTTCAAAAATGTCAAGCATTTCATTTTGTGGAGCTTTTCTTTGTAATAAAATAGTAAAACTTATTTCTTATTTTGTAATGATTTTTTATTTTAATTTTTTTATTGTTAAAACACTGAAATGTGTAATAAAACAATAAAAAGTATTTTTAGTAATTTTTTAGTTTTGCTTTAGTATAAAAATATGACATATTTAAATATATTTCAAATGTATATTTTAAATTTCTTTTTTATATGTATTTCTATGTTTTAATTTTTTTAATAAGTTGTAAAAAGTTTCAGAAAATTTATTCAAAAATCATTTTGTTAATAATCCTATCTAATGATACTTGTTTCTTAATAGTATTATTATCATTTATTATAAGTTAAGTTTCTATTTTTAAATAATGTTATTATTTAACTTATTAATATTTAAATTATTTAATTGGTTGTTAATTAAAGCTTTCGATTCTGTTGTTTTAGCGTGATCCAGTTGATGAAGATATACCATATTGTACCTTAAAGTCTTTTCCTCAACAGATAGAACACACAATTCAATGGGCAAGAGACAAAGTAAATAAATATAGAAAGTATTATTAAATTATAAAATAAATTATAAAATAAATTATAAATTATTATTAAAAATTAAAAGTAAATAAATGTTTTGATTTTTGATATTTTCTATTGATATTTCAATTTTTTTTTCATAAAATGACATTTTTTTTTTTTTAATACTGTTTCATTTTATCAAAATGGGAAGTATTATTATTATTATTTTTTTTTTAGTTTGATAGCTTGTTTATTTATGAACCAGAAGTTTACAATAAATTTTGGGATAAAAACAAAGACATGAATGAAATAATTAAGGTGTGTATAATTATGTTTTATCATTATTATTCAATTTTTGCGTTAACATATTTTTGCATTAATATATAAAACAAGAAAAATAATTATTATAAGTTTATTAAAAAGAATTTTGAAGAAAATCATCAGATACCTGATGGTTTTGTTGTTTCTGCATCGTTGTTGAAAAAAAAACCTGCAAACTTTGAACGCTGTGTTAAAGAAGCCTACCTCAAGTTTTATAGCTACTTCCATAATAAGGTTACATTTATTAAGCATATAGCTATTTCCATAATAAGGTTACATTTATTTAAGTTTATATTATTACATTATTTATTTAAGTATATTATTAATATATTATTTAAACACTTTTTTTTAAACTCTATCAAATTGTTACTTAAAAGTTATGTTTGTATTTCATCAAATTTTATTTTCATACTTTTTTCTAATTATTTTAGGCACTTCAGCTGCTAAATTCTTTTCCACTTGACACAAAGATGGCAGATGGAAGTAATGTTTTTAAATTTTAATTTCAAAATATTTTTAATGAAAATGTTAAAAAATAAAAATATCACAGCATTGTATTGACAAAGAATTTTTGGCTTTAAATTTTTAAACATAACTAAGTTTATAGTTGTGTAATTATAATATGTATTGCATTTAAATGGAGTACCAAACTATCAGGGACATGGTAAGAATTAAATACTTCTTATTTACAACACTACTTTTTTTAAAACTAATAAATATATTATAAAGTTATAAGCTATGAAATATAAATACAAAACTATGAATTAATTAAAAAAGAAAAACAATACTTTTAGGAAACATAGCACTATTAATACCAAGTACACGTAAAATATTTCAGAAAATCTTAGAACAGTAAATTTAAGAAAGATGAAACTCCTTAAAATAGTTAAAATTTGTATAAGCAGCTGTTTCAGAACATAAGATCATAATTTTTATGATGCAAAATGTATTAACTATACGTTTGAAACCGCAAAAAGTAGTTGATTGCTTGAAGCAATAGCTGTTATGTTTCAACTCAAATAAAACTTTGTTTATTACAGGAATTATCTTTTTTCGGATATTTCCGATATTTTACTCATCACTTATACACAAAATTTTGAAAATTTGGAAAAAAAATTTGAAACAACTTATCTAAAAGCAAAATTAAGAGGAAAATAAAAGGAAAATATATTCTGGATTTTTTCCAGATGTTTTACCCAAACAATTTTTCGCATTTTTAAAAAATGACCGATCATTCAGGTCATCTATTTATTAGTTATTGAAATAAAATCCTCTATTTTTTCTATAACTGTGTTGAGTTTTTTTTTTTTTTTTTATTTTGTTATTGACCTCCTCAAGGTCGAGAAGGCCACTACAGACGAGGAGGTTACTTAATAGTGTTTATTACCCTCTCTCAACTCTATAATTCCGAAACACGAACCTTGACGAACAAGGCCGCTGCGCATAGAAACAAATTGAGCGCGGTACTACTAGGGACGTGGTGGGGATTATTAAAAAGTAACTATATAAAAGATACAATAGTTCTAATAAAAGATACAACAGTTTTAGAAATTCATTATAGTGTGTAAGTTTTTTTGATTTGTAGCTTGGTTTTGGCAGTCTCCAAAAAAGCCACCATCTCCAATTCATTTTGATCCACAGAACCCATTGTATGTTATATATTGTTATTTGTCATTTTATTGAGAATTTATTATTACTTAATGTAATTAAGTTTTTCAACTATATAGTGTTTTATGAATTCAACTACTAGGCATATTCAGTTTGTCACTAGCTATGCCATGTTACTTGCGAAAACGTATGGAATCTGGAGTGAGGTATGTCTTGTTACTTTAAAAAAAGTGAACCGGAAATGGGGCGTGTAGTTACCGTAGTTACCTTATTTGACTTTTTTTTTTTTTGAAAAATTTTTAAATGTTATAATTTTTATTTTTATTTTAAAATTTCAAACATGTTTCTAGGATTGTAAAAGTGTTAAGATCCCAGATGTCATCAAATTATTTCAGTTGCCAGAGTTTAATCCATCACAAAAGGTTTGAAATAGTGTTTTAAATAATTCTTTTGTTGTTGTTGTTGTTATTTTTTTTTTGTTTTTTGTTCAATTTTGGATCAAGACTTTGAAAACATTATCTACAAAAGTAAGATTCATGAATAAACTTTATTTTGAAGACAACAATTCTTATGCTAACTTTTGTTAAGTGATATAAGAACTTTGTACTTTTTTTTTTTTTTTTTTTGCAGAAAGTTATAATTGAAGAGAACCAAGACAAAGAGAATAAAAATGTAAATTTGGACAAAGTTGGTGGTCTCATTCAGTATTTAAGTTCTTTGAAAGAGTTAGATGGTTAAATATTGTTTTGTTTGTGTGCCTGTGTGTGTTTATTTTTTGCGAAACATATCTTGAAGAAACATAAATTAAAAAGTTTTTAAAAATTGATTCTTTCATTCTTAGCTTTTTCTTTGTCTGTTGAACATTTTGAGAAAGACAACGATAGTAATAGACATCTTGATTTTATCTATGCCACAGCTGTAAGTTTTTAAATATATATTTAATTATAAATAAAATACAAATTACTTATTAAATAAGTAATTTCTATTTTATTAATGACTTGAAAATCTTAAAAATTTCTTTAATCTTTTTTTTTTTTTTTTAATCTTTAAATTTATCTTTTTTTAAAACTCATCTTGTTTAAAATTTGTTTATTTTTGTTTTAGAATTTACGAGCTACCATGTATGGTATTGAAAATGTTGATCGTTATAAAATCAAAAGAATTGCTGGAAGGATTATTCCTGCAATTGCAACAACAACATCTGTTGCAGCAGGCCTAGTGAGTTTGTTTTTAAATATTACTGTATAACTATAAATTACAGTGCTTTTTGTAGCAAAATTTAAAATGTAAAGTAAAATTAGAATTCAGTTTGGGTGAAAAAAATATTTTGAAATAAGGAATTAATGTTTTAAGGATAAATTAAATATAATTCATTTGTTGATGGCTTAAAATCTCTTAATTAAATGTGAAACAAATTGACTGATATTTTTTTTCTTTCCTACAAACTTTGTTTGTTTAAATTGTTTTTTATTGCATTAGTGTGAAATTATAATCAGAGCAGAGTTCCTGGGTTTGGCATTGTTGCCAATTTGCCTAATATTTTCAGTTATTGCTTAAACATTATTATTTCAGTCAGATAGATGAATAGTTTTGGTTAGTGTATTTTCAATCTAATTCTTTTTAAAAAAATGTTTCAAATAAGCTTCAAAATTAAAATCTTTAATAAAAATTTCTATTTATTTAACTTTATTTAAAAATTTTAATAACAATAAGATTAATGTCTAAAAAATTAAAAAATTTAAATATTTTAATTACAAATTTAAAAATTTATTATAATCAAGTATTTACTTAAATTATAAAAATGCAGAAATTTTTTACTTTATTTTTAAAATAAAAACCTTAAAACTTTTTCAATCAACTTTGTTTAGGAAGTTTAACTCTTGAAAATCTACAGTTGTTAAAAACATAAAATCATGGTTTCCAGTGATTTTGGAAAGTTCTGGATTTCAATATCTAACTTGAAGAAAAGTCCTGATACTACCTAAGGCTTACTAAATTTTAATACAAAAAGTTTAGTTGTTTTATGGTTTTCTCAATGTATGGTTGTTTTTTTTAATTTCTTTACTTCCAACAAGGCTGCAAGCAACCGCTATTAGAGTTGAAAGTTTCTAGAAGAGAAAAGATGAAGTTTATAAAGCAAGATTTGTTATCTTTAACAGGCGACTTGAAAAATTGCAAATTAAATGAATCAGGAAAACAAGATGAAGGAAGCAAATCCCACAGAACTGATATTTAAAGAAAAAAACTAGACAAATAAGAATTTTTGGAGCACATAGGATCAATATCAGTAAAAGGATAAGACTTAATTGAATGACGAGTAACACGAGAATGAATTTGATTAAATGGCACAAGAGACACTTTAGAGCATCCGATTATAGTATTTATAAAAAAGAGAAAGTGAAGCAACATTACAGTTATGTGATAATGGTTTGAGGTTGGATGCAACTGCAGGTCTAACAATGTTTACAATGCGTTTTTGCATCTTGTCTAAAAGAGAAAGAGCATCATTGGAAGATCCGCCCCAGATATGGCAACAGTCTTTCATAAGAGGATAGATTTGAAATTTATAGGATAGATTCAGAGTAAGAAAATGAGGAGCACGATAAAGAGATGAAACTTTTGCAGATGCTACGTTTGCAATCAATTTAATATATGTTTTCCAAGAAAGATTGGAAGTAAGAGTTAATCCTAGATGACAATAAATCATATATAGTATCAAGAACATTACCATTATGTGACGCAACATTATTATAATTTTTTTTTTCAAAAAAGACTTTCTTTTAATTAGAAGAGTAATGACCAAACCAAAACCATCAGTTGATGTATCTTGTATATACCCTCAGTTGATGTATCTACATGCTGATTGTAACTATGCTTAAATCTTATTTAGTCGATGTGTACACTCTGTTAATGGAGTATTTACAGCCAGTTAATGGCTGTTTACGGCTGTATGTCAAGTTTGTGCTGTTGTCAAGCACATACTTTTAAGGAAAGTAATATGCGTTTTAATCAGGGTTAAAAGAATGATACTGCTTGGTAATTTTACCCAACAGTTATTGATGGGGTTTAAATTAGACGAATTGGCTGGTATCAATTAAAACAGTAATCACAGTTTCTTAGAGTCATGTTGTCCTATCATGTTTTTAAAGATGCAGGAGTAATTTGTTCAGACTTGCTGTCTTCCATTAAAAGTTGTGTTTAAGCAAGTGATGCTAAAGCTCAACTTTTAAAACACAAGCTATACAGATAATGATTAAATTACAATTTTAATGTATATAGACCATATAAAATTTTTTTCTGTTGTTTAGTATGCAACATGAAAAACATCATGTTTCGATGCTAGTTTAGCTATTAATTGAGTACCATATCAACCTGCTTCTCAAAAAAAGCAAAATTATATAATAACTTTAAAAATCGTAACTGTTTCATAAAAAATATACTCAAAAAAATAATTTTAAAGTTTGTAAAAATGTACTTTTTTATTTTTAGTTTATAATTAATAGTTTTTATGAAATAAAATTTAAAAGAATAATTTTTAGTTATTAATTTTGTAGTTTTTATATAATTTTGCTTCTTTTAAGTACCTGGTTTGAAATGCATTTGAAGAACTTTTTTACATATACATTAAGGACCCTTTAAATGTTCAAGGTTTTTGGAGCACCTCTAAACAAAATATTTTTTGTTCAAAAAAATTTTAAATCCAGTGTTATTTTATTGCATAGAACACATTTAGAGGTCAGACAAGGCAATTTTTAAAAATTGTTGTTTTCAATGTATCCTAATTTATATATTCGGAAATACAATATATCAGGCTGGAATGCCGGAATTTATTTTTTACCTATATTTTTTAAGACATGACACAGACTGTGTAAATTAAATTAAAAAAACCAGTGTCCTACAGAACAATGAAGAACTTTAGCTAAACCTAGTTAAAATGGTTTTAATAATTTTAATATAATGGTAAAGACTTATAATATAAGTGAAAGCCTGAGGTGCAGGCTTTCACTATTATCTTAAGTCTTTACCATTACATTAAAGTGAATGCCTGCACCTTTTTTTACCTTAAGATTAAAGTGCAGTCTTTCATTTAAATTTTAAGGTAAAAAATAACAATGTTATAATCTATTGTTCTGGCTGGAAATTTTTATTGACAATTCTGACAAATCTGGCCGAATTTTGAAGTTTCCATTCTGGTACCCCTAATATATACATTGTGTGTGTATATATATATATATATATATATATATATATATATATATATATATATATATATATATATATATATATATATATATATATATATATATATATATATATATATATATATATATATATATATTTATATATATATAAATATATATATATATATATATATATATATATATATATATATATATATATATATAATATATATATATATATATATATATATATATATATATATATTTATATATATATATATATATATATATATATATATATATATATATATATATATATATATATATATATATATATATATATATATATATATAGCACTATATGATTATATATGCTGTATTATTGTTGTTAGGCAACTCTTGAACTATTAAAAGTTGTTGCTGGTTGTTCTAGAGAAAGTTTAAAGAATTGTTTTCTGAATTTGGCCGTACCTTTAATGGTTTTATCTGAACCAGCACCAGCTCCTAAAATAAAAATAATGTAAGTTTTATGTTGTTTATTTAATAAATATTAAGTTGTTAAATTTTATAGACTTTTTAGTGAAGCATAAGTAATCATACTTTTAATGATTTTAATATTTGAGTAAAAAAATTTTTTTATTTTCCTTTTTTTATTATTAACAGAAACGATGTTCAGTTTACATGTTGGGACAGATGGGCGATTCATGGACATAAAGATTATCGGCTAAAAGATTTTGTTACTTATTTAAAAGTAACAATTTTATTTAAATTCATTTAAATAAATTTTTAAAAAATTGATAATTTATTTTTGGTGAATGTTTTTGTAAGCAGATTAAGAGTAAAAGTAGAACTAAATAAAGGATAGAAATAAAACAGAAGATAAAAAATTATATCTTGTAATGCAAAAAATAAAATAAAAAATAGAAATAAAACAGAAGATAAAAAAGGAATATAGAACAGAGATGAAATAGAGGACAGAATAAAATAGTTATGACAATGTTCTTTTACTCTTAATTATCGAATAAGTTGCAATTAATTTTTAATTTAAGTTGCATCTCTTTATCCAGCTCGACACTTTCTTACTCTGGATTCTATTCTCTATCTCTATAAATCTCAAATCCAACCTTGTATGGAATACTGTTGCCATATCTGGGGCGGATCTTCTAATGATGCCCTTTCTCTTGTAGACAAGGTGCAAAAACGCATTGTAAACATAGTTGGACCTGCTCTTGCAGCCAACCTTCAACCTCTGTCACATCGTTGTAATGTTGCTTCTCTTTCTCTTTTTTACAAATACTATAATGGGCACTGCTTTAAAGAGCTAGCGTCTCTTGTGCCATCTACTAAAATTCATTCTCGTGTTACTCGTCACTCAATTAAGTCTCACCCTTTTTCTGTTACTTTTCTAAGTGCTCCAAAAACTCTTATTCGTCTAGTTTTTTTCCTCGAACATTTGTTTTTGTTTTTTTACGATAAATAAAAAAAAATTGTAAATAATGCATTTTTATAAAAACATTTATTTGTAAAAAAAAATTAATAACTCTCATGTGTTTATCTATTAGGTTGGTTTATATTTAGGTCAAAACTTTTTTAGTCTAAAATAAAAACTTATAGGTGCGCCCGTTTTATATATGAGATTTTTTTCTTATAATTTAAAATTAATAATTTAAATGTTTAAGGGTGCCACTATATTTTTCTTTATATTCTTACAAGTAATTTAAAAAAAAAATCAGGCAGTTTTTCTATACAAAATTTTTATCAACACTGAAGAACTTATAGAAAAAGCTGAAAACATATATATATATATATTTTTTAATAAAATTTAGCTAGTTAAATCAAATTATAAATAAGCTATTAAAGTATATTACTTTATTTGTGAGACTAAATATAAGAATGGATCCAGTTTATAAAAGAAGAAGGGTAAAAAAAATCAGTTTTAGCTCTTGTTTTAGGATTTTTTTAGAGGAAAAATTTTATATTATTTATTGTGGGATTATTGAGGAAAATTAGTTATATAAAGATTTAGGGTCGTCAAACCCCAAAACATGATTTTTGGGGTTGTCAAACTCCAAAACATTATTAATTTTTAGGTTGTCAAACCCAAAATGTGCCGAAACAGGTTTTTAAAAATTAACTTTTTGGCCCGTTTGCCTCCCTGAACCATTTTCAAATTTAGTAAAAGTAGAAAAAAGTTTCTTACAAATCAAGTGTATCTTATGAGCTTCCACTCTAGTCCAAAAATGATTTTAACGTAAATATGAACCGCCCTAAACCGCTATCTAGAAAGTATTGTAATCCCATTGAATAAATTTTTTAGAAAAAATGCGGATTAACAGTCAACATGGTATGTCAAGGTTTAAAGATGATATATATTCCATTTATGCCTGGTCATCCAAAACGCCTTAATAACTTGTAAGAGTTTTTTATATATATATTTTCGGTTCTATTTTTTTTATTATTGTTATTTAAATCACTTTTTTTTTATTATTTTTCAAGTCACTTTTTTGTTTTTAATTTTTTATTTAATTCTGAAAATTGTTTTAATATTTGTTTATTTACAACTCTTTTTAATGTTTTTTGAATTATAATTTTTTAAGGATGACTGATCTGCTGAAACCTAGTAAAGACACAGCATATATTGATTTGATTGTTGCATTTCAGGATCCAGAATTAAGTTCTGAAAGCGATCTACCCTCCCCCCTAGTTCGATATTATTTTTTGTAAATCCTAGTTTTATTAAAATGCGTACTTTGATTTTCTCTAATTTTTATATTTTAAATTATTTTTGCAAAATGAATTTCATTTTTGAACTTTTTAAGCTGATGAATCTTAATGCTTTTAACGCTGCTCAATGTGTATCCGTTCAATGAACTGATACGCTTTTGTGTTTTAAATAAATGCTTTTTATGTTTGTTTTTTTTTATTCGTCTTTTTTTAATTTAAAGCATCTTTTTCTTTTTATTATGTAATCATAACAAAATGACGTCATTCTTTAACGATATCGTAGCGATTTCAAACGATAATACTGATTGTATATGTTGTTGATAAATTTGTTATATTTCTGACATCGTAGTTAGTTTGTGGTTGTTTTTTTTTTTAGCTGTTGTTACCAAAAACAAACAAATTTTGTTTTTTAAATGTCAAAATTTCAAAATGTTATGTATATTTAAAACTTTTATTAAAATCTTTACTTCCTTTTCTCATTAATTTCGCTTCATTCTGTTTCAGTGATTTTACGATATTTCAGATGAGCTTGTTTAGGGTTTCTCCATAAATTTCGTCACGCAGTTTTTGACCTTTTTTGTATAAAAAATCTCTAAATAATTGGTTTTGGCCTATTTTGCACAATAGAACGTATAATTTTTTTTTCGTATTATCTTAAAATAGTGTTATAAATAATGCAAATGTTTATATTAAGGGGAAGGTCTCTCCCCCCCCTCCCCCCTAAACAAAAGTATTAAACATTTTAAACAAAATCAAGAATATAAACATCAATATAAAATAAATAAACAAAATCCTTGAAAAAAAAAAACAAAATGGCTTTTGGTTGCCATAGTAACAACAAAAAACATAAAAATGGCATTCACATTGGCCGTAAAAACTAAATAGCCGTGCAAGATTTCTTAAAAACCTTTCACCAAATGCTTCACAAAAGGTCAAAGGGTGTTTTAATAGCGGCATTTTCCTGTAACTAAAAATCTGAGCGATGTGTGCACATTTAAAGATAGCGAGAATATTTTTTATTCAAAATAAAAAAAATCTAAACCTCAATTTAAAAAAACTGTTTGTATTAAACCATATTTTATAATAATAGAAACAACTCCAGAAAATTTCATCAAAAAACAGTTCTTGAGATAGAACGGCCGGCGTGTGAAAAAATACTATTTTGAGAAAACGCAAAAAGAAAAAAAAAAATAGCACATAAAACTTTAAAACTTTAAGTAAAACACATACTATAGTTAAAATATCTAATAAAAAGTATTAGAAACCTCCTGCTTCATACAACTTTTCTTCTTTTTCTTTTTCTTTATCATTTTCGCAATGTTTTTTGCCACAAATAATTTTTTGTCACAACTTGTTTTTATCAATATTTCTGTATTTGGAACGTTACAACCTTTAAGAGTATATAATTTTAATTTTCATAACCTTTAAGAGTATATACTCCTGGATATATGTCCAAAGATTCATGAACTAAAATTGAGGTATTTCGACCAATTAGCTATTGCATCATAAATTTATTTAGCCATTGCATCATAAAATTAGCCATTGCATCATAAACTCCGAATTCTAATTAACTGATTGATATTAATTTCGTTTTAGGTAAATGCTCCCAGATAGGGCAATTAAAACTTTCATTTGTATTTTGTATCTTACCATGTAAACACTTTTCAAAATGCTGGTCAGCATTGATTTCTGCAAAGATTAGTTTGATTTTATAAAGATTAGCTATTGGTAAACCTGGTCCAAGTTTATAAGTATTTGTACAATTGGCTTTATCTGAATTATATTTGCACCAACTATCAGCTCTTACTGGGCAATGTGGAAAAAATAGATTATTCTCCTTGATGGAAGCAACATAATAAAGTTTTGCCATAGTACCAACTTTCATTGATGCTTAATCTCCTACATTAGCTCTAATTGCAATAATAAAAAAAAAATTTACCTCTACCACCAAGGTTTTTAATTTTTTTTTTTAACTTTTTTAATCTTGTATCTATAAATAAAAATAGATCCAAAATAAAAAAATATATATATTTACTTAAGAAACAAAAAACATATTTTGCTTGAGATAAAATAAAAATATAAACTTAAAAAAAAATTACAAAAAAAAAAATATTTTATTTAACAAAAAGTAACAAAAATACTTAAAAAACAATTTAAATTTAAACATTATTTCATTATTATTAGGCTTTAGGTAGGCCATAATCAAGTCAGTCATAAGAAAAAGAACTCGACCTAAAAATGGCACAAAATTTTTTTAAACATATTACACATTAATCACAAATTAACGTGTCATGCAACCAATTAATTTTTTTGCTCGGCGGATTTCTTCATCCTCTACTTCTGCCATGTTTTTAAATGCAATAGCAAATGGGTTTTCTTGATTAATTAATTCAAAAGTTGTTTTAACTCGCGTATACAACCATCATTTCCAGGTTGTTCCACTCTGAATGACACTGCTGCATTAAGATCATAACTTTATAACTGACAATATTTGAGCCCTCTGCAGACCTCAAATTTCCAACACGATGCAAAATTTGCCCACAGACCCTAAAACAGAAAGGGCCATTATTTGAGGGACGAGCTAATTCGGCAGTGAAGGTAGCAAAAGATAATGAGGAATTATAACTCCTTATGCGTTTAAAAAAATTTTGATTTACAGCATGATCAACATGGTTTCCTGTCATTAAATGCATGCATGTGCAGCCGTAGCGCTGTGGTAGTGCACTTGCCTCAGAAACGTAAGATCCGTTGTTCAAACCCCACCTCTGAGCAAGTTTTGCGATATCGGTTGGGAAGGAGGCGTGAACTTCCTATTAAATGCTCTTTCGCGGTGCTCTGTGATAAGACCGTAAGGACTTCTTGGGGCACCTAAATCAACTTAAAAAAAAAAGAAAAAGAAAAAAAAATCAGTCAACAATCGTAGATATAGAGAAAGAGGAGCAAACACAACTTTTCCTGAATGGCAGCACAAAAAATGAGTTTGATTTAAAAATTTCTTCGCACTACAATACTGACAATTATGGTTGAATTCTCCGAGGTAATAACTCTCTGTAGCAATATTATTTCTTGCTACGCGATCCATATTATACCTATTGAGTTCTCGCCTAGCCTAATTTATTTCATTTTGATTACAATTTATTTCAACTTGCCTGGACTCAAGTCTTTCATTCTGACGGCGGTATATCTTAGCTCGCCTCGGCTCTTCTCTTTTATTCTGACGGCGGTTTATCTTAGCTTGTCTAGCCTGTCTTCTTTCATTTTGACGAAGTATAATAATTTCATTTCTTAAATTATCAGACTTGATTATGAATCAAAGGTGTGTAAAAATGATATTTAATATAATAAAAAGTTGAGTTTTCTTTTTTAAACTAATCAAAAATAAAGTGTAAGCAAATAATATAGAGCATAATATAATAATCTTTTATATTCTACCATATATTGAAATGTGTTAAGATAACATACTTTTATTCAAAGGTTAAACTAAAGTTATAAATAAATTGATATAATCTTTTAAACTGAGTATTGTTTCATATTTAAGTTGTTATTAATTATTGACAAAATATTATAGTATTTAATCAAAAAAACAAAAGTAAAGTAATTTAAAAAATAAAATTTTTACATTTAAGAACTCATAAATAAAGCAAGTTCAAATAATGAGGCCTGTCTGCTCAGCAAGAAGATAAAATGTAATGATTCATCATAAAAACCCTGTCATTACTTTGAAACGCATTTAATGCAAGATTTGCAACAAATAAGTATATACAAAACTAATAAAAGAAAACCTCTATAAACAATCATATATTTGCTTTAAGTGAAGAAACTTGGAAATATTGAAAGTTGTTTAACTATTTTAATATTTTTTTAGATATCTAATTTTCTAAAAAAAAGTCAATAATATATATTCTATACATATAATATATGTATAGACACTTTAATTTATATATATATATATATATATATATATATATATATATATATATATATATATATATATATATATATATATATATATATATATATATATATATATATTTATATATATATGTTTATATATATATATATATATATATATATATATATATACATATATATATATATATATATATATATATATATATATATATATATATATATATATATATATATATATATATATATATATATATATATATATATATATATATATATATATATATATATATATATATATATATATATATATATATATATATATATATATATATATATATATATATATATATATATTATTTTAAAACATCAAAAATACGATTTCTCTCAACACTTATAATTTTTTATTATTATAGAAATTTTCGCTGGATTTTAGATACCAGCTTCTTCAGCTTGTTAAATGTTACAGTAATTAGTAAACCGTTATAATTTAAATTAAAACGTTGCTATTGACGTCAGCGGTTGAATGGCTTCTTTTTTGCTGAAATTTTTTTTTAAAAATTAGATATCTAAAAAAAAAAAAAATTTGAAAAAAAAAAAAAAAAAAAAAATTTGAAAGAAAAGTTAGGGAAGCCCTAGAAATACAAAAAAAACATGTGTTCTGCAAAAAATGGCGGGATTAATCTCGATGAGGGTCAATACGTAAAAACTAAGTTTTGGACGCCATTTTTTAAATTTCAGCAAAAAAGAAGCCATTCAACCGCTGACGTCAATAGCAACGTTTTAATTTAAATTATAACGGTTTACTAATTACTGTAACATTTAACAAGCTGAAGAAGCTGGTATCTAAAATCCAGCGAAAATTTCTATAATAATAAAAAATTATAAGTGTTGAGAGAAATCGTATTTTTGATGTTTTAAAATAATATATAAATATACTCTCACACAAGATGTTATCCTTTAAATCATATATATATATATATATATATATATATATATATATATATATATATATATATATATATATATATATATATATATATATATATATATATATATATATATATATATATATATATATATATATATATATATATATATATATATATATATATATATAT